GAGGAGGAGGCGCAGCAGGAGCACGAGGAGGAGGAGGAGGAGGAGGAGGAGGAGGAGGAGGAGCGGCAGCCACGGGACAAGGATGGCGGGGGGGCAGGGAGGCCGGGAGGAAGACCGGCAGCAGCAGAAGCGAACTCGCGGGGCCGGGAGGAGCAGCGCGAGGAGGAGCAGCAGCAGCAGGGGATGGAGCCGAGGAGGGGGGGGCCGCGGGGCGCAGCCGGGCGAGCAGAGAGGCGGGCCGCGGCTCGTGGGCACTGCAATGCCCCGCTGCGGCGCGGCGCGGCGCGGGGAGGAAGCGCGCAAGGGTGCAGGCAGACGCATGCCGCTCCCGAGGCAGCGGAGGAGGCCAGAGCAAGGAGCAGCAAATACTGGCCAAGCCCAGAGGTTCGAGGACGAAGAAAGGCACCGCGTCGGCCTCCTCCTGCCCTCGTCGCCCGCCTGTGGCACCTCTCGTGGTCCTCCTCCTCCTCCTCCTTGTTTTTGTTCTCCAGGCTCTCATTCCAACCAGCTCGCCCCGCTATGCCCGCTTCATCCCTCTTCCTGGTCCGCCACCGTGCCACGACGAGGCTCGAGGTGGAGCGTCCTTCCGCGCCTTTTGGAGTCGCCTCTGCGCTAGATGCTGCAACATCCACTTCAGGAGGGGCCTGCAGCCTGGGATGCTGGGCGCTCCTGGGCACTCCTGGGCTTCGGCCTGGCTCCGCGGCTGAAATTATACAACGGGGGCCAGTCCACAGGAAACCTTCCGCAAGACACAACCCTGAGACCCCAGGACGTCCACTGTTTTTTTTTTTTGGTGTGGGAACGTCACGCTTTGCATAGCTAAGCCATCGAAACCCAATAAGCCTAGGGCACCCTGGAGGCAAGCAGAGTGTTTCTTGGCATGGGCCTCCACTGCAGGCCGCCTTCGACATCTTCTCCCTGCTGAGCAGGCCTCTGCTCTGGCACACACACGTGCGCAAGGAGCCTGATCAGCCAAAACGGGGAAGCGCCGCTGTGATGGCCTCATCGGGCACAAGGACGAGGACGAATAGAACGAAGGCGAGCACGAGGAATGCGGAGGACGATGACGGCGACGACAACGACGTCGGAGGACAGTAAGAGGCAATTTGAGAAGGACGTTGAATCAGGAGAGGGTCCTGGTGACCCCATCGGGCTACCTTGGGGGCTCCTGGAGCCGCGCGGGGCTGTCTTGGGGCCTGTTGGGGGCTTCTTGGGGGCTTCTTGGGTCCTCTTGTGGGCTTCTGGGGTCTTCTCGGAGCGACTCCAAGACGATGTCGATCCGGGAGGCTCACAAAGGCGAAAACGAGGCAAGGGCAGCGGTATGGGACCTTGCTCCTTCGCCTACACGTACCAGATCAGTCGGAAGAAGCGGGTAGAAACATGAAGTGGGAAGGCGTTGAACGTGGATTGGGTTCTGTCCTCCCCCCTGGGAGGACGGAAAAGGTAAAGCAACTCGATCATTGAAGTAGGAAGGCGCTTCAAGTAGATTAGAATCTGGGATTCCCAAAATACCTACTTTCTATGACCGATGGGTAAGAGCAGCCCTAGGCAGGAACGACCTCTGGTGAGCGGCTTCCGGGGGGACGCGCCCCAGAGGCCCCCTGGACAACGCAAGAGGGCCCCGACTCGCCGAAACATCGCTCGAACCGCCCAGGATGACCCGAAGACAGTTCCGGAAATCTCCAAGACGTCCCCAAGTCTCAACCCCGCCCGGATCGGCGGCACTGGCCGGAGGCCAGCCCAATACCTACTTTCTACGACCGATGGGTAAGGGCAGCCCTGGGCAGGAACGACCTCCGGTGAGCGGCTCCCGGGGGGCTGCGGAGGGGCCGGATCCACGCGCGCGAGCCTCCGCTTGGGGGGACCCCCGTGGGGCCGCACCGGAGGTCACTCCCGCGAAGCTCGTGCTTGCTTGTGTGTTTGCTTGTTTGTTTATTTGTTTGTTTGTTTGTTTGTCTGTTTGTCTGTTTGTTTTTTCCCAACCATCATGTGGTGTTGGGTCCTCGTTTTGGAGAGACGGCGCCCCGCCTTCCTTCCCGCCCTCCTCCCCTCCTCCCTCCTCCCCCTCCTTGTCTCTGCTCTCGGCACACCTCTCACACGCTTCGTAGCCCAATAGGGAGCTCCACCGAAGGCCCCAGTGGGGGTGTCCACATGCGGTTTCCCCACCCATGGCAGCGTTTCGTAGCCGCATAGGGAGCTCCACCGAAGGCCCCAGTGGGGGTGTCCACATGCGGTTCCCCCACCCAGGGCAGCGTTTCGTAGCCTCATAGGGAGCTCCACCGAAGGCCCCAGTGGGGGTGTCCACATGCGGTTTCCCTACCCAGGGCAGCGTTTCGTAGCCCCATAGGGAGCTCCACCGGAGGCCCCAGTGGGGGTGCCCGCATGCGGTTCCCCCACCCAGGGCAGAGGCCCCAGTGGGGGTGTTCGCATGCGTCTCCCCTACCCAGAGGTAGCGCCACCGAAAACGATATTCATATTTGTTGTATTCGCAACTGCATATGGTAGGGTCCTTCGCCAGGCTAAGTTTTGTTTGTTTGTTTGTTTGTCTGTTTGTGTTTGTTTGTTTGTTTGTTTGTTTGTTTGTTTGTTTGCTTTTGTTTGATTGCTTGATTGCTTGCTTGCTTGCTTGCTTGCTTGTTTGATTTTGTTTGTTGGTTTGCTTATTTGTTTGTGTATTTTTTGGGGGGGGGGAGAGGAGATGGACCGCACGGCACCGGGATGACAGATCCCCCCCCCCCCCGAAGCAATTTGGGCGCCCGAGTTATCCGGGGTAACTCGGGTCCGGGGTATTTCGGGTTTGGATTCCCGAAAAAGGAACCCGAGTTAGCCCTGACCCGAGTTACCCCTGATGATTCGGGGCTCGGGACGCCCGAACTATCCGGGGTAAGTCGGGTCCGGGGTAAGTCGGGTTCGGATTCCCGAAAAACGAACCCGAGTTATCCCTGACCCGAGTTACCCCTGATGATTCGGGGCTCTGAGCAATCCCGAGAGCACTGCCCACAGCTGGTAGACTGCACCGCGTATCCCAGGCGACGGTGCCCTCGGGCGACGTTGCTGCGCGCCGCCCCAGCGGAGGCGGCCGCTCCCTGCGCGTGGCCGGCCCCTCCTCCGAGCGAGGGCGCTCCCCCCCCGCGAGCAGGGGGACCGGCCGCCCCAGCAGCCCTACAGGCCTGCCACGACACCTGCCGTCGCTCGGACGTCCATTTCCTGTGTTTTGTCGGTTTCGTGCGGGGTTGTTTCGCCAAACGATCAGGGATGCTCCTCGATGGCCCCCGCCGAAGGAACAATGCACACGTCCGAGCGATGCCAAGTCTTAGAACCCCACGCGTTTTAAGAACAAAGCCATGGTCTTAGAACACAGGCCCGGGGTATGAAAACAGGGCGGCCTGAGGCAGGACCGCTCTGCGTCGGGGCATCCCGTGCAGACAACCAGAGAGGGTTCTCAGAACACTCTTTCCGGTGGGCCCATACCGTCGGACTCGATTGGAGAGGACACGCGAGAGGACACAAGTCCCTTCCGAGGGCCACATCGCTACAGGAGTGTAAGAAGGCACGTGTCGCGAGGCACAGGACACAAAGGTACCCTTGAGCTGGCAGGGTCGACCTACTGCATACTGCATCGTTCTGTGGTTGTGGTTGTTCTCATACTGCACCGCCTTACCGCCATGGGTGTGGACACTTCTTGCCCGGGCACCGTTCCCTGCACGGCTTCCCCCGGAGCCGTAGGCGACCTGAGGAGGAGGAGGAGGCGGAGGAGGAGGAGGAGGTGGAAGAGGAGGAGGAGGAGGAAGAGGAGGAGGAGGAGGAGAGGAGGAGGGAGAGAGAGGAGAAGGGAGGAGGAGGAGGGAGGAGGAGGAGGAGAGGGAGAGGGAGGTGGAGGAGGGGGGAGGAGGAGGAGGAGGAGGAGGAGGAGGAGGAGGGAGGAGGAGGAGGAGGAGGAGGAGGAGGAGGAGAGGAGGAGGAGAGGAGGAGGGGAGGAGGAGGAGGAGGAGAGGAGAGGGAGGAGGAGGGGGAGGAGGAGGAGGAGGAGGAGAAGAGGAGGAGCGGAGGAGGAGAAGGAGGGGGAGGGGGGGGAGGCGGGAGAAAGGAGGAGGAGGAGGAGGAAGAGGGAGGAGGAGGAGGAGGGAGGAGGAGGAGGAGGAGGAGGAGGAAGAGGAGGAGGCGGAGGAGGAGGGGGGGAGGGGAGGGAGGCGGAGGAGGGAGGAGGAGGAAGAGGAGGAGGAGGAGGAGGAGAAGGAGGAGGAGGGAAGGAGGAGGAGGGGGAGGAGGATGAAGGACGCTGCGCCGCTGCTCCGCCCTCGGCGGCGGCTACTGGCAGTCGGGCGAGCCCGGGCGCATCTCGCAGTAGGCTGGCCGACCGCCCCTCGGCCTCCCGGGAGCGGCGGGCCGCCCGCCGGGCGCGGGGGCCGGCCAGTAGCGGCGCGCGCGCGCCAGGAATCCTGCGGCGGGGCCGCGGAGCGGCAGAGGAACAGGCTCCCTGCGCCCTGCCTCCTCCTCCTCCTGCCCACCACCGCTCCTCCTCCTCCTCCTCCTCCGCCTCCTCCTCCTCCCCTCCTCCTCCTCTCATCCTCCCTCCTGCTCCTCCTTTTTTTCCTTCCTCCTCCTCCTCCCTCCTCCCTCTCATCTGCTCGACCTCCACCTCCCCTCCTCCTCTCCCCTACCTCCTACCTACTTCCTCCTCCCCCCACATTTGCCTACTGCTCTCTCCTCCTCCTCCTCCTCCGCCCCTCCTGCTCCTTCTCCTCCTCCACCTTCATCTTCCCCCTTCACTCCTCCTTCTCTCCAATTCCTCCTCCCTCCTCCTCCCCTCTCCGTCTATCCACTGACACCCTGGTCGCGCGATCCTGCTCCTCCTCCTCTCTCCTCCACTCCTCCTCCTCCTCCTCCTCCTCCTCCTCCTCCTCCTCCTCCTCCGTAGGGGCCAGGAGGAAAACAGGCGGGTAGCAGCCCGATCGTCACCCCTGCTTGCCCGTAGGGGCCAGGGGGAGAGAAAAATGCACCTCGTCGCCAGCTCCCTCCTTGCGGTGGCCCGGCACGTACACCGCGTGCGCCTGGGCGGGGGAGCGGGCCCCCTGCGGGGGGCTCATCGGTGGACCCCGCACCCATCCCCCCCACGGCCAGGGTGCCCCGCCCTGGCGTGCGTGGGGGTGCGGAGTCGCCCGTGGGGAGTGGCGCCCCCTCGGGCGGCTTGGGCCGGCACGATAGTGTCGTTATCTGAGCCCTACGGGGCGGACGCAGCTCGGAAAACCGTGAGGTAGGTGGCGAGCTTGCTGGCCCTGCGAGTTGGGGGGAGGTCGGAGTTTTGCTGCTGCGGTGGGCTGAAGACCCCCGTGACGGCACAGTGGCATGTGGCTGCAGTTGCTTCTCTTCTTCTCCCTTCCTCCTCCTTGGCCCGTTTTGTGTAGGCCGCCTGGGGACCGTGCCTGGTGGGAGGCATGGGGCGGCACCCAACGCGGTGTCGTTTCGTGGAGAGCTCGCGTGCAGTCGGCGTCACCTGCCGCTTGCTTGCGCTCCTTTGCCCCTGGTTGAACTGGCCACGTGTGTGGCATCGCAGCATGATCCAGCATGATCCTCCTCCTCCTCCTCCGCCTCTCCTCCTCCTCCGCCTCCCCACTCCTCCTATCATCCTGCTCCTCCTCCGCTCCTCCCTCCTCCTCCCTCCTCCTCCCTCCTCCTCCCTCCCCTCCTCCTTCCTCCTACCTCCTCCTCCCCTCCCCTCCTCCACTTCCTGCCTACCCTCCTCCATCCTCTCTCCTCCTCCTCTCCTCCTACCCTCCTCCTCCTGCCACCTCCCCCCTCCTCCTCCTCCTCTCTCCCTCCTACTCCTCCGTCCTCCTCCTCCTCCCCTACACTCCTCCTCACTTCCTCCTCCTCCTCTCCTCCTCATCCTCCTCCTCCTCCTCTCCTCCTCTCCTCTCCCCCTCCTACTCCTACCCCTCCTCCTCCAACCTCCTCTCCCTCCATCCTCCTCCTCCTCCTCCTCCTCCTCCTCCTCCTTCCTTCTCCTTATAGATAACTCCTCCCTGTCGCACCCCGAGGCCAGTTTCTAGGGCGGGCCGAGCGTTTCGCCTGAGACTTCCTCACCACGAATGACTCTGAAGCTTTCAAAGTGACGACAGCTTCACAGATGGAGGGCGGGTGGTTTTCAAAATGTGGCGCTCGCCTTAGCGCCGAGCACATTCGTTTTAACCATGTGTAAGAGTTTCACGGATTCAAGGCGTGTCGTTTTCTAAATGTGGCTCTCGCCTTAGCGCCGCGCACATTCGTTTTTAAAAAGTCCGAGGGCTTCACGGATTGAGGGCGGCTCCTTTTCAAAATGTGGCTCTTGCCTTGGAGCCGCGCACATTCGTTTTTAAAAATAGCAAGAGCTTCACGGATTGAGGGCGGTTCCTTTTCAAATTGTGGCTTTCGCCGTAGCGCCGCGCACATTAGTTTTCACAATGTGTAAGAGTTTCACGGATTCCAATGATCAACGTACCAGAAATGGTGTTTTGGGAGGATTCAGTGTTATACGGGCGCGCCGGTTATGTTGATTCGCTGTATTCCAATTCCAAACAAGGCGTCCTGGCACGATTCTGGATCGTCAAGACGCAGCAGTCAGGTTGATACATGGCGCTGAAATCCCGAGAGCAATGTTTTGGCACGCTTCAGGATCTTCAAACCGTTGTCTTCCAATGAGGCAGTCCCCTCAATGGAAATGAATCGTTGCAGGGAACTATGAAGAGGGAGCTTGGAGGGAGCGTAATTCCAACATCGTAGATGACTCTTGGGTTTCCACTGGTCCTCCTCCTCCTCCTCCTCCTCCTCCTCCTCCTCCGCCTTCGCGGGCGTGGAAATTATCCTGGCGAAGGACCCAACCATATGCAGTTGTGAGTATCGCAATTGTGAGTATCTTCTTCGGTGGCGCTCCCTATGGGGCCACGAACCGCATGAGGGGTGTGCCGAAATGTGGCGGGGTACACAACGCAAAGGAATACGATGATCTGATTACGAGAGAAAGAACGCGGGTGAGTCAGAGCGCGAGGGAATCTGAGTATGAATGGGTCTGCGCGCGAGTGAATATATTTGCATGAATGCGATCATGGAACCGCCTAGTGTAAGTGTCGAGCATGCCTGTCCGAACACACGTGACACTGGGCGTGGCCGCCGCAGGCAGCTTCCGCGGGAACCCCGACGGCAGCGTCCGCACGTCGCGACGCCCATGTCGGCACGCCTCTTGCGAGGATCGCGCCCGCTTTCGGCTCTTCTTTTCCTTCCTCTTTGCCCGCGCACTCCAAAATCCAAGGCTGCGGGCGCAGCGCAGCGCGGAGTCCCCGCGACGCGCGCTGGTCGCCCCGGGCGGGGTCCCAGCGACGCGCGCGGGTCGTCCGCTGCGCGAAGCAGAGAGAGCTGACTAGCTAACTGGCTGGCTGATAGCGGGCAAGTCTCTGACCGCTGGGCAGAGCGACGACGGGCGAACGAGGCGCCGGGCCCCCCGCAGCACGGAGTTCCCGCGACGCGCGCTGGTCGCCCCGAGAGGGTCCCAGCGACGCGCGCGGGTCGTCCGCGGCGCGAGGCCAAACAATTAGTCGGGCAGTCGAGAGAAGGCGCGGCTCGGGGGAGACGCTCCTCAGGTCAGGCCTCGCGGATGAACTCGGTGAAGCCGAGCTCCCTGGCGAGGGCCGTCGCTTCCCTCCTGCACCGCTTCGTGCGCGCCGCAAACTGCTCCAGCTGCTTCCGCAAGCCCTGCGGCGGCCCTGCCAGGAAGAACTCGATGCGCGGCGCCCGCATGAGCAGGAGGTCCTCGTGGCGCGTGGCGCGCGAGAGCAGCACGTAGAGCTCCAGCCACCAGTCGTCGTCCTCCTTCTTGCCGTTCCCTACCTCGTGGCGGCCGCAATCCAGGATCACGCCTGGGCGACGTCGACCGAGGGAGCAGCGCGCCGGGCAGCCGACAGCCCAGGGCGAGAGCCCACAGGACCGAGAGATGGTCTGGCCGCGGACTGCTCGCGCCCCGGAGGTCTGGCCGCCCCCGGAGCGCCGTTCCCCCGCCGCGTCGCCTTCGCGCAAGGTGCGCCCCTGGCACGCCACCGTGGTGATGACCCTGCCGTGCATAAATGCGGGGTGTGTGCCGAAATCGGTGGGGGTGACGCATGCGGCCGCGGGCACTGAGGCCTTCGGTGGAGCTCCCTATGGAGCCACGAAACGTGTGAGGGGTGTGCCGAAATGGGTGTGGGTGACGCATGCGGCCGCGGGCACTGGGGCCTTCGGTGGAGCTCCCTATGGAGCCACGAAACGTGTGAGGGGTGTGCCGAAATGGGTGTGGGGGACGCATGCGGCCGCGGGCACTGGGGCCTTCGGTGGAGCTCCCTATGGAGCCACGAAACGTGTGAGGGGTGTGCCGAAATGGGTGTGGGTGACGCATGCGGGCGCGGGCACTGGGGCCTTCGGTGGAGCTCCCTATGGAGCCACGAAACGTGTGAGGGGTGTGCCGAAATGGGTGTGGGGGACGCATGCGGCCGCGGGCACTGGGGCCTTCGGTGGAGCTCCCTATGGAGCCACGAAGCGTGTGAGGGGTGTGTGCCGAAATGGGTGTGGGGGACGCATGCGGCGCGGGCACTGGGGCCTTCGGTGGAGCTCCCTATGGAGCCACGAAAAAGTGTGAGGGCGTGTGCCGAATATGGGTGTGGGGGACGCATGAGGCCGCCGGGCCATTCGGGAGTACGTGTGAGGGGTGTGCCGAAATGGGTGTGGGGGACGCATGCGGCCGCGGGCACTGGGGCCTTCGGTGGAGCTCCCTATGGAGCCACGAAACGTGTGAGGGGTGTGCCGAAATGGGTGTGGGGGACGCATGCGGCCGCGGGCACTGGGGCCTTCGGTGGAGCTCCCTATGGAGCCACGAAACGTGTGAGGGGTGTGCCGAAATGGGTGTGGGGGACGCATGCGGCCGCGGGCACTGGGGCCTTCGGTGGAGCTCCCTATGGAGCCACGAAACGTGTGAGGGGTGTGCCGAAATGGTGTGGGGGACGCATGCGGCCGCGGGCACTGGGGCCTTCGGTGGAGCTCCCTATGGAGCCACGAAACGTGTGAGGGGTGTGCCGAAATGGGTGTGGGGACGCATGCGGCCGCGGGCACTGGGGCCTTCGGTGGAGCTCCCTATGGAGCCACGAAACGTGTGAGGGGTGTGCCGAAATGGGTGTGGGGGACGCATGCGGCCGCGGGCACTGGGGCCTTCGGTGGAGCTCCCTATGGAGCCACGAAACGTGTGAGGGGTGTGCCGAATGGGTGTGGGGGACGCATGCGGCCGCGGGCACTGGGGCCTTCGGTGGAGCTCCCTATGGAGCCACGAAACGTGTGAGGGGTGTGCCGAAATGGGGTTGATGTGATGATGATGATGATGGGAGGGGGGGGGAGGCAGCGGGAGGAAGGAAGGAAGGAAGGAGAACGCGGGGCACCGTCTCTTCAAAACGAGGACCCAACACCACAGGATGGTTGGGAAAAACAGCCGAACGCACCACACGTCTCTACTCCGCTGGGGGTCGGCGGAACGACGCAAGCCACTCGATATATATATATATACATACACATATCGATACACATGAAAACACGGCATGGACATGAAGCCTTCCGAGCTCCCCGCGGGCTTCCCGGGCTGGCGCTGATCCTCCCGCCCCCCCCGGCGCGCGGAGCGTGCCAGGCGCTGCGCCTGGAGGCGCCGCCAGGGGGGGGCCCAGCGTCGATCCCAGACGTCCTCGCGGAGCTCCGACAGTTCCAAGGTCCGGAGCACAGAGTGAGCCAAGACGAACCAGGCCCGAAAGGTATCAACGCCAAGGGGGGGGAGAGAAGGGGAGGAGGAGGAGGAGGAGGAGGAGGAGGAGGAGGAGGAGGAGCGAGGAGAGGAGGAGGAGGAGGAGGAGGAGGAGGAGGAGGAGGGAGGAGGAAAGAAGGAGGAGGAGGAAGAGGAGGAGGAAGAGCAGAAGGGGGGGAGGAGGAGGAGGAGGAGGAGGAGGAGGAGCGAGGAGGAGGAGGAGGCAGGAGGAGGAGGAGGCGGAGGAGGAGGAGGACAGGAGGAGGAGGAGGAGGGAGGGAGGAGGGAGGAGGAGAAGAAGGAGGAGGAAGACGAGGAGGAAGAGCAGAAGGGGGGGGGGGAGGAGGAGGAGGAGGAGGAGGGAGGAGGGGAGGAGGAGGAGGAGGAAGAAGGAGGAGGAGGAAGAGGAGGAGGAGAGCAGAAGGGGGGGGGGAGGAGGAGGAGGAGGAGGAGGGGAGGAGGAGGAGGGGGGAGGAGGAGGAGGAGGAGGAGGAGGGAGGAGGGGGAGGAGGGAGGAGGAAAGAAGGAGGAGGAAAAGAGGAGAGGAAGCAGAAGGGGGGGGGGGGGGAGGAGGAGGAGGAGGAGGAGGAGGAGAGGAGGAGGAGGAGGAGGAGAAGGAGGAGGAGGAGGGGAGGAGGAGGAGGGAGGAGGAGGAGGAGAGGAGGGAGGAGGAGGGAGGAGGAAGAAGGAGGAGGAGGAAGAGGAGGAGGAAGAGCAGAAGGAGGGGGGAGGAGGAGGAGGAGGAGGAGGAGGGGAGGAGGAGGAGGAGGAGGAGGAAGAGGAGGAGGAGGAAGAGGAGGAGGAAGAGCAGAAGGGGGGGGGAGGAGGAGGAGGAGGAGAGGGGAGGAGGAGGAGGAGGAGGAGGAGAAGAAAAGGAAGAAGATGGAGAGCACTGCTCCGAAAATGTATGCTCACGCCGTGCTTCTCCTCCTCCGGGTCCCCGCGGCGCGGGGCGCCGCCGGCGCTCGGCGGGCCGATCGCTGCGCTCGCCGAGGGTCGTTCGGGCTGCAGGCCGACGCAGCCCACGGGGCAGCTTTCAATACACAGGATGCGTTAAGGTAGGATCTTTATTACATTAATACATAGGATGCTTTAAGGTAGGATGTTTTAAGGTAGGATGTTTTAATCCATATGATGTTGTAGTACATAGGATGTTTTAAGGTAGGATGCTTTAAGGTAGGATCTTTATTACATGATTAAGTTAGGAAGGCATGTATGCATGAGCTCATCTTTGTTTTTCATGCTGAATCCCTGGATTTGTTGATACATGATCCGCTCGCGGAGCGTGCATCAAACACGGCACTGTAGCAGCGATCCTGACGCCTCTCGAATGTTTGGCGAGGGAGGGCCCCCAACCCTTTGGGAGGGGGCCGAACTTAGGAGGGCCAGCATCATCAGGGATGGATTCTTTTCTGCAAAATGTATCAAGCCAGACCGCCCAGATTCAGACGTGTTATCCCTAGGGCAAAAGCGGGGACGCGAGTGATGCCACGCCTTTACTCTGTTATTAGGGTTCGGGGCTCTTCTACTCTCGATGATTGAACACTCGCGGGCGTGCCACAAGAATACCCAGACACTCCAGCACCAACATAGCCCACCGAACGCATTGGACTTCTCTACTCCGCTGGGGGTCGGCGGGACAGCGCAAGCCTCTCGAATATAGCCTCAGCCGGATCAGCTGTGGCAACAATGTGAGGTCAGGAACTTTTGCTTAGCTTGTCGCGGCGGTGGCCGTTGCGCCACGTCATGACCTCCAAGCGGATAGCGTGTCGATCCGCTCCACGGGACGGGAGCTGGAAAAGTTCGGAGCGCTGACGCCTGCGGACCAGAACCGGCGGGCGGAGCGACACGCTAAACTGACCTCTCTGAGTCCGGGCGAGATTTCAGAATAGATCAATGAATCGCCCACGGTAATGGTAGTCGTAGTAGTAGTAGTAGTAGTAGTAGTAGTAGTAGTAGTAGTAGTAGTAGTAGTAGTAGTCGTAGTAGTAGTAGTACTAGTCGTAGTAGTAGTAGTAGTAGTAGTAGTAGTAGTAGTAGTAGTAGTAGTACTAGTAGTAGTGGTAGTAGTAGTAGTAGCAGTAGAAGTCGTAGTAGCAGTAGTACTCGCAGTATTCGTAGTAGTAGGAGTAGGAGTAGTAGTAGAAGTAGTAGTAGTAGTAGTAGTAGTAGTAGTAGTAGTAATAGTAGTAGTAGTAGTAGTAGTCGTAGAATTGGTGGTGGTAGTAGTAGTAGTAGTAGTAGTAGTGGTAGTCGTAGTATGTGCACTAGTAGTGGTAGTAGAAGAGGTGATAGTAGTAGTTGCAGTAGTAATAGTTTTAGTAGTAATTGTGGTAGTGCGCGTAGTAGACATAGTAGTAGCTGTAGACTTGGAAGCAGTAGCAGTAGCAGTGGTCGTGCTACAAAGTTAGTAGTAGTGGGAGTAGTTTCGATTGTAGAATTAACTACACGATGTTTCCATCAATCGGAGTAGTGGTACTGGATGTAGCAGTAGTCGTAGTAGTAATAGCAGTGCTCGCAGTAGTAGTAGTAGTAGTAGTCGTAGTAGTAGTCGTAGTAGTAGTAGTAGTAGTAGTAGTAGTAGTAGTAGTAGTAGTAGTAGTAGTAGTGGTAGTAGTAGTAGTAGAAATGGTAGTGGTGGTAGTAGTAGTAGTAGTAGTACTAGTAGTACTAGTAGCAGTAGCAGTAGTAGTAGTAGTAGTAGTAGCGGCAGTAGTAGTAGTAGTAGTAGTAGTAGCAGTAGTAGTAGTAGAAGCATTAGTAGTAGTAGTAGTAGTAGTAGTAGTAGTAGTCGTAGTAGTAGTAGTAGTAGTAGTAGTAGTAGTAGTAGTAGTAGTAGTAATAGTCGTAGTAATAGTAATACTAGTAGTAGGGTTGGCCTTACCCTTTTTTGCCCCAGGGAGCCTCTGGGATTGCTTTGGGTTCCTGATGGTCTGGGGCTCTTATGGGCGCCCTGGAGGCCTTCTTTGGCGTCCTGGACGCCCAAGAAGGCCTCCAGGATGCCGTATGGTAACCGTATGGCGTTGGCATGGGACTCTTATGGTTTTCACATGGTACTCTTATGGTGTTCATATGGTAACCTTTGTGGTATTAATATGGTGTGCTCCTATGGTTTCCACATGGTAATCGTGTGGTTGTCGGATGGTAATCTTAAGGTTTTCGTATGGTGATAGTATGGCTTTCGTAAGGTAATTTAAGATGGTTTTCGTGTAATACGCCTGTGGTATTCGTATGGTAGCCGTACTGCTTTCGTGTGGTAATCGTGGGGTTTCCGTATGGTAGTAGTATGGAGTCCGTATGGTATTCGTAGTAGTATTAGTAGTGGGCGTAACAGTAGTAGTAGTCGCAGTGGTAGTTGTAGTGGTAGAACGTATAATAGTAATAGTAGCAGTAATAATAATAATCCTACTCGTAGTAGTCGTAGAAGTAGTAGTAGTAGTAGTAGTAGTCGTCGTCGTCGTCGTCTTCGTCGTCGCCGTAGTAGAACTAGTAATAGAAGTGGTAGTAGTAGTAGTAGTAGTAGTCGTCGTAGTAGTAGTCGTAGTAGTAGTAGTAGTAGTAGCAGTAGTAGCCGTAGTAGTAGTAGTAGTCGTAGTAGTAGTAGTAGTAGTAGTAGCAGTAGTAGTGGTAGTAGTAGTAGTAGTAGTAATAGTAGTGGTAGTAGTAGTAGTAGTAGTCGTAGTAGTAGTAGTGGTAGTGGTAGTAGTAGCCGTAGTCGTAATAGTCGTTGTCGTAGTATCACTGTTAGTAGTAGTAGTAGTAGTAGTAGTAGTAGTAGTAGTAGTAGTAGTAGTAGTGGTAGTAGTAGTAGTAGTCGTCGTCGTCGTCGTAGACATAGTTGTAGTAGTAATAGTAGTAATGATAATCGTGCTCGTAGTTGTAGTAGCAGCAGCAACAAGTGTAGTAGTAGGAGTACTAGTAGTAGTAATAGTAGTAGTAGCGGTCGTAGTACGACTACACATACTAATAATACGAAACAACTACTAAGTCTTAGTATCGCGATGGTACTGTTAGTCGCAATAACAATAAGCATAATGATGATAACCATAAGGGTGAAATTAATCATAATAATAGTCACACTCATAATGATAATGATACTAATAAGAATAACGATACTAGTAGCTCCTTCGCGCCAGTACTTGAGGTTAACTGCGGATGAGGAAAGAGACTAGGAGGAGAGGGGCAGAAACAGATATGAACATGGGAGCTTCTGACGGCACTCGCTTGCGGAGAGAACCGACACCGAGAACTTGAGGCGCCTCCCCCGGCTCTGGAGTCCGATGCCCCAGGCGGGCCCAGCGTTCCCACGGGGGCCCAGGCGGCCTCCAGGGCCCCAGGGCCAACCCTGGCAAAACCCGACTTCCCCTCTGCTTCCTGCCTCCTGATTTCGGCCACACGCAAGAGCGACCCTGGGTAAGAGTGACCTTTGGCGCGCGGCTCTTTGGGGGGCCCAACACATGCGCGCAGGACGCTACTAGCGCACCGCACTCGGTGATCGGGGGGGGGGCCCAAGTGGGCGCGCACCAAAGGTCACTCCGGCGAAAGGCCACTCGCGCGTGCAGCCGGTGATCACAGGGGGGAGGAGGAGGAGGAGGCGGAGGAGGAGGAGGAGGAGGAGGAGGAGGAGGAGGAGGGAGGAGGAGGAGGAGGAAGTGGGCGCCATCGCCACGATGGCGAGGCCGGGGCGAGGCGCCGCGCCGCGCCGAGCCGAGCGGCGGTGCCCGCAACAAGCGCGCCGGGCGGGGTCCTCGGGGCAGGCGGTCCATGTCTGGCTCGACCCACGGGGACGAGGTCTCGATGGCGGCATCGTTGGTGGGCTTGTTTTCCACCACCACCACCATGAGTTGGAGGGGGAGGGGGTCCTCCTCCTCCTCCTCCTCCTCCTCCTCCTCCCTCCTCCTCCTCCTCCCCCTCCTCCTCCTTCTCCTCCTCCTCCTCCTCCTCGTCCTCCACCTGCTTCCCTCCTCCAACTTCTGGTGGTGGTGGTGGAAGACAGGCCCATCAGATCGTTGTTGCCGCGCCGCATGAGCGCGTAGCCCTGGAGGCCCCAGTCCTGCCCCCAGCTGTTCCGCACGATCCAGTACTTCTGCACGTGGCCGCTCCGCGCGTCCGCCTCCTCGCCGAAGCCGACGCACAGGATCGAGTGGGTCGTGTACCGCCAGGGGAGGATCCGCGGGTTCGACGAGGCTGGCTCCTGGGGGACCTTCTCGTTCTTGAAGAGCGTCATGACCTCGGTGGTGTTGCGGTAGCTCACGCCGTTGTTGTAGATGAACTCGAGCGCGGCCGAGGTCGAGAACGACATGATTACAGGGCCGTTCAGGTAGATCTCGCGCATGATTGCCTCCTCCGTCGCGCCTTGCGCGAACCCCCCCGTCTGCCCATAGTCTTTCGCGTAGAAGAGCATGTCGTTGTTCCTGTAGCAGGACCAGTCACAAGAGTCGTCCAGCTTCTCGGGAGGGATGCTCGCATCGCACTCCGCCAGCGGCAAGCCGGTCTCGGCCGCCTGCTTGAACGCGAGGTAGGCGAACCCCCCGTTGCAGCCCTCGGTGTAGGGGCTGCACCGCGTCGCGCTCCGCCAGGAGAGCTCCAGCGGGTACAGGACCCCGTGCTCCCGCAGCAGTCGGATGCGGAAGCGCATCTGTAGGACCTGGGCGCCCGAGAAGGCGTAGCACGAACCGCAGTTGCCCTGGCTGAACTGCTCGGACAGGTCGTCCGCCTCGCCCGCGTGCATGCCCGCCAGCTCCTTCCGCCAGTCCCAGGACTTCGGCAGGGCCCCCGCGTCGCCCGCGGAGACGTTCCTCTTTTGTTTCATGTCTGACGTCTTGTTTGAAGGGAAACTGGGACACACAAATAAATACACACAAATACAAATATTCCCAATATTTTCTTATATTTTCTGGGTTTCTGTCTTCCCCCCCACTTCCCATATTTTCCCATATTTTCTGGGGAATCGAGGATTAATTGTGTCTGTGTGTTTTTTCCTCTCCTGATTGTTCCCCACCCGGCAAAATTGGTACTCTTAGATGGTGAGACACAACAACTCCCGTCTGCCCAGCCCGAAGCCCGCGCTCGCCGGACCCCACGAGACCCAGAGAGTTCCTGGAGGGTCCCGCCTCGCGTCCCCGACGCATGGCGACACTCGGGGGCGGCACAGAGGGGGGTGTCCAAGAGGGGGGGGTGCAGATCATGACCGGCGGCATGTGCGCGGCGCCCCGCGGGGGGGCCAGGGACGTAATGAAATAAGAAGAGGCGCCACGAAATCTGGGGAAATATCACGGCCCCCGCCATGAGATCCCCCCCCCCCTAGTCGTCACCCCCTTCTTTCCCGCCCCCGAGACACCAGACCGCGGCCGCCAGGCCCCAGGGCATCCCGGGGAGCCCCGAGCGTCCCGCCTCGCGTCCTCAACGAGCGGCGACACCCTGCAGACAGCGACAGCCCCGAGGGACGCGTCGAAGCGTCGCGCCGTGGAGGCGCCACGACGCGTGAGCAGAGCGGCACGAAGAAATCACAGAGCAGAGCATGACATGGCCCTGCTGGACCAAAAACATAACCAGACATGGAACATAACATCTCAAAACGCGAACACAACATGGCATGGCAGAGCAGACCATTGCACCCACTCGCATAGTAACACGGACTAGAGCAGATCGTACGATGACAGAGCGGGTCACCCAATTGTAAAAAAAATCCAACATTCCAGACGATGACAATAATATTCTACGACTGCTCCCACTACCGCAGCAACCGCAATCTACCGTAACAGCATAACTGCAGCAGCCTATCGCACGATAGCATAGGATATTGTTAGTAATCGAGCATCGCATGACATCCCATGCCACTGCAGAACCTCCATCGCATCATGCCAAAACACGTCACAACAGAACTTAGCATACTACGGCATGAACTAGCACACCTTATCATACCATAGCACAACAGACTGCGGCAGAACGGGGCATGTCAGGGCAACGCATATCAGGCCATAACATCACACCATAACAGTTGCACGACTGGTACCACTACGGCACAGCAAGCATCAAACACATCACACGACACAGTAGAGGACACAATGCGTGTTCTACTTCTGCGACCACGACAACAACGGTTGCACACAACATATGTGACGAATATTTTCGTACCACCACAAAACAAACAACACAATGACACACACACACACATCGCAACTTTGAACAACCTCGCGCATCATGAAAGAGCACACAATACCATAACATGACAGGGCGAATCATGACATTGGCCTGGCGAAGGACCCAACCTTTTGCAGTTGTAAATACCGCCGTTGTATGCAACGCATTCGGAGGAACGCCCTATAGTGACACGAAACGTGTGAGGGGTGTGCCAAACATTGTGGGGTGGGTGCATGCCGAAGCAGCCACTGGGGCCGCCGGTGGAATCCCCACGGGGCCACGAAACGTGTGAGGGGTGAGCCGAAGTAGGTGCGGTGGGAGCATACGAACGTAGCCGCTGGGGCCGTCGGTGGAGTAGTCACCATGCGGACTGCGCCACTGGGCCCGTGGGTGGAGCTCCCTGAGGGGCCACGAACCGTGTGAGGGGTGTGCCGAAATGGGGCGGTGCCGCCATGCGGACGGCGCTGTGGTGCAACGAAACGTGTCAGGGGTGTGCCGGAATGGAGCTGCGCCGCCATGCGGACAGCTCCACTGGCACCTTACATATGTGGAGCTCCCTATGGGGCCACGAACCGTGGTGCAGTGGTTTTCATGCGAGCGCAGCCACGTGGGCATGCGGTGGAGCTCCCTATGGGGCAACGAGACGTGTGAGGGGTGTGCCGAAGTGGGTGCGGTGGTGCCGTACGAGCGCAGCCACTGGGGCCTTCGGTGGAGCTCCCTCTGGGGCCACGAAACGTGTGAGGGGTGTGCCGAAATTGGTGCGGTGATGCCGTACGAGCGCAGCCACTGGGGCCTTCGGTGGAGCTCCCTATGGGGCCACGAAGCGTGTGAGGGGTGTGCCGAAATGGGTGCGGTGGTGCCGTACGAGCGCAGCCACTGGGGCCTTCGGTGGAGCTCCCTCTGGGGCCACGAAACGTGTGAGGGGTGTGCCGAAATGGGTGCGGTGATGCCGTACGAGCGCAGCCACTGGGGCCTTCGGTGGAGCTCCCTCTGGGGCCACGAAACGTGTGAGGGGTGTGCCGAAGTGGGTGCGGTGGTGCCGTACGAGCGCAGCCACTGGGGCCTTCGGTGGAGCTCCCTCTGGGGCAACGAGACGTGTGAGGGGTGTGCCGAAGTGGGTGCGGTGGTGCCGTGCGAGCGCAGCCACTGGGGCCTTCGGTGGAGCTCCCTATGGGGCCACGAAGCGTGTGAGGGGCGGAGGTGTGCCGAAATAGGCGTCAGGCGCGTGCGGACCTTGCCACTGGGGCCGTCGGTGGAGCGCCCTATAAGGCCACGAATCGTGCGAGTGATGTGCCAAGATTGGCGTCGGGCGAATGCGGACCCTGCCACTCAGGCCCTCGGTGCCCATGGTGCTACGAACCGTGCGAAGAGTGTGCCAAACCGGACGTCGGGCGCATGCGAACCCTGCCGCTGGGGCCTTCTGTGGAGCTCCCTATGGGGCCACGAACCTTGTGATGGGTGTGCCCAAATGGGAATCGGGCGCATGCGAACCCTGCCACTGGGGCCTTTCGGTGACGCTCCCTAAGGGGCCACGAACCGTGTGAGGGGTGCGCCAAAATGGGCGTCGGGCGCATGCGAACCTTGTCACTAGGGCCTTCGGCGGAACTCCCGATGAGGCTACGAACCGTGTGGCGGTGCCATGCGGACATCCCACGGGGGCCTTCGGTGGAGCTCCCCATGGGGCCACGAACCGTGTGAAGGGTGCGCCAGGATAAAGCGGCGGTGCCATGCGGATCCTCCCACTGGGGCCTTCGGTGAAACTCCATATCGGACCCGCGAGCCGTGTGAGGGGTGCGCCAAAATAAGGCGGCGGTGCCATGCGGACCCTCCCAGTGGGGCCTTCGCCGGAACCCTCTGTGGGGCCACGAAACGTGTGAGCGGTGCGCCAACATGGGGCGGCGGTGCCATGCGGACCCTTCCCACTGGGGCCTTCGGTGGAGCTCCCTATGAGGCCACAAACTGTGTGAGGTAATGTGAGGGGTGTGTTAAAATGAAATGGCGGTGCCATGCGGACCCTCCCACTGGGGCCTTCGGTGGAGCTCCCTGATGGACCCGCGAATCGTGAAGGGTGCGCCAGGGTGCGCCGAAATGCGGCGGCAGTGCCATGCGGACCCTCCCACTGGGGCCGTCGGTGGAGCTCCCTATGGGGTCACGAACCGTGTGAGGGGTGTGCCAACATGAAGCGGCGGTGCCATGCGGACCCTCCCGCTGGGGCCTCCGGCGGAGCCCTCCAAGGGGCCACGAACCGCGTGAGGGGTGTGCCGAACTGGGTGCGGTGGTGCCATGCGAGCGCAGCCACTGGGGCCTTCGGTGGAGTCCCCTACGGGGCCACGAAATGAGTGAGGGGCGGGCTGCAGATGGATAGTGGCAATGGCGATGGCGATGACGATGGTGATGATGACGGCACGCGGAGAGAGGAGGCAGGAATGGGAGGAGGGAGGAGGGGGAGGAGGAAGGAGGATGAGTGAAACGCGGGGCGCTCTCTTCAAAACGAGGACCCAACACCACAGGATGGTCGGGAACAACGTAGCACCACATAACCTATCACAGCAGCACAACGTGGCATACCATGATGTGACAGAAAGGGGGCCAGCCAGAGTAGAACATACCAAAACATGGCAGAAGCGTTCGTCACTGCGACCACTACACCAACGACTATACTAGAGCGCACTAGGACATACCAGAATTGAAAAACGACACCTTAGCCAAACAGATCATGGCACACTGCACTGCCATGCAGAACGAATCGCACGCAACGCATCCCAGCATAATAGAAAGTAGTATACGACAATAGCACTGAATATGTTATAGAACAACAATTGAAACATAGTAGCTCTGAAGATTGCATAGAACATGGAACCACATACTGACCATACATAACAGACAATTCACAAAGTATGCAGCAAAGCCATGGACGTGTAAGCAAGGTTGCAACTGTAGAGCTGTATATAACTTGAGTGCGATGTCCTAATCTAAGCGCGATGCCATAGAGGCACTATGCGTAAGAGCGTCGGTGTGGGAGCAATAGCAAGAGATCATGAACGATCGGGGCACAATCAAGCTTATCATAACATAAAGGATATGTCAGACCGCACAGCATAACATTATACTGGTTAGCAGCGTATGAAAAAAAATCAGCGTAACAGCACAAAGCAGGACATAGTGGAATATTAATACATAACGCCAAGCAGAACTTAACATGATCTGATAGACCCAAACAGTCCAGAATCGAGGCTTGCTGCATAAAACAAGCATGAAACAATTCAGCGGCCGATTAATTAGCGGCTTTCTATCAAACGCGACGTGCGCGCCGAGGCCAGGCTGACCACAGGAACAAAGAGGTCCAACAACGACAGATTGGACGACGTATCAAACGTGACAGGCGTCACGACGTAACTCCAGCCCGTCGAAAATATAACATAAAAGAACATGATAGAGTATATTGTAAGATAACATGACTGAACATCATGGTTGAATTACGGATGATGCAACAACACGCGAGGCGACGTACGGCTGGCCACAGGAGTAAATCACAGACGAGCAGAACGGAACATAACCGAACATAACATGATGGAGTACGCAGCCCAGCAGCGACCGAATCATTCATGGCCTCTCGCGTTTGATTACAGACGCGACCTGCGCGCCGCGCTCGGGCTGGCCACAGCAGCGAACAGCACCAGACTCTGGAACAAACGCCGAGGGCTTCGGTGGAGCTCGCTCGAAAAGCAACCTAGTGGTGTTATTTTGAGCAGGGTCCGACCGTCCTGGCATTCCTAAAGTGCTACCACGAAATGCTCTTAGAACCCAATAATGTTCTACAAACCAACAATGTTCTTAGAATATTATCCCGCTGTGCTAAAACAAGACAGCATCAACCAGAAATGTTCTAAGAACATTTCGTGGAAACCACAACAAGTTCTGAGAACATTGTTTGGTAGGGCTATAGGCAAGCCAGGACGCTTCGCCACTTTTTGAGCGTTGTCATTGCTCCTGAGGAGGCCCAGGCGAGCGCGCGTCGAAAGGACCCCCCCCCCAAGAGAAGAGCCGGGAGTGGCACGGCGCTCGCACGGCCGCAGCCCCGCCGCGGGACAGTCCCCCCGAAGCGAGAGAGGACCCCGAAGACAGCTTCCTCGCGGAGAAGGGCGGAGGAGGAGGAGGACGAGGAGGAGGAGGACGAGGAGGAGGGAGGAGGAGGGAGGAGGAGGAGGGAGGAGGAGGAGGAGGAGGAGAGAGGAGGAGGAGGGGGAGGAGGAGGAGGAGGAGGGGGGAGGAGGAGGAGGAGGAGGAGGAGGAAGAGGAGGAGGAGGAGGAGGAGGAGGACGAGGAGGAGGAGGAGGAGGAGGAGGAGGAGGAGGAGGGAGGAGGAGGAGCAGGAGGAAGGAGGAGCAGGAGGGAGGAGGAGGGCGAGGAGGAGGAGGGCCGCGGCGCAGCGGCGGCACTTTCCTCCTCCTCCCCTGCGGCGGCGCTCCTGGGCGCCGTGCCGCGCAGCGCCACCGCCGGCGGGCGGCCGGGCCCCGCGGGGCCGGAGCGCACGGGCGCCACTCGGGGCTCAGCGGGCTCGAGGCGCAGGACCTCCTTGGCCTTGGACCCGGGCCCGTCCCTCTACAAATAATCGTACAAATCAAAAAAACATAAAAAAAAAGCAAAACAAACAGCCGATAAAATAGCCAAAACATAAAACATAGTCGGATATTCAAAACAGGTAAAAGAATAGTCCGGGGACTATGTTTTGACTATTTTTTGATAATTTGGGATATCTCTGGAGCATTTTTCTAGTTTTCGCCGAAGATCCCCCTGCGTGGGGGACACGCCCGATTTAATTTAATCCTTGGCCTTGGCATCGGGGCCGCGCAGGTCCGCGATCTCCCAGACGCCCGCGGCCGCGTGCGCCCTGGAGGCCCGGACGGCCATGGACGCCGCCTTGGGGCCCCCGGGGCCGGCCAGGCGCACCACGCTCACGGGCGGGGCCGCGCCGCCGCCCTCCTGCCGCTTCGCCGCCCAGAAGCAGCCGCTCTCCAGCTCGCCCCCGGTCCTGGGACGCAGAGGGACAGACCAATACGACGTGGCCTCCTCGGAGGCGCGCGGGCGACTCGAGCATACAGTACTACCCATCTCGCAGTGCATCGCTTCCCGAGCGGCGTGGCCAGAAAGCGCCCGCCGCGACGCATGTACCCTGAGATTTCTCGGTGCGCGCGTCGCCCCAGGGGGGACGGCACACAAACACGTAGCATTGGTATGTTGCGGTGGTGCCGACATGTCCCTCGCCGATGCCACCAGCCAGATGAGGTCTCGTTGCAATAGGACGCGTAGGTGTCGCCCTGGGGCTCTATCTTTATACCCTCGGGGCTGCGGCCGAAGTACCTGGCGATGTCGGACCATCGGTCGCCGTTCTCCGGGGAGGTGCCCTGGAGAGCCTCGAACCTGAAGTGCGCGAAGAACGACAGGCCTCCGCTCATGCGGACCTCGAAGCCCTCGTCGAACACCATGGTCCACCGACCTTCCTCGCCTTCGCTGGACACTGCCTGCAAGTGCCTGTCCGGTTGCTCCTTCAGGGCCCCCTGCGCAAACGGATACTTTCTGGTAAACTTAGGTCGGGCATGTCCCCATACAGGCGGATTTTCAACGACAAATGTAAGGGACTAACAAAATACTCAAAATTAGTTCTCAAAAAAAAGAATCGGAAAATCGGCCCCATATTATTTTTTACTATTTTTGAATTTCCTCCTGTGGAGGGAGAGGCCCGACTTAGACACTGGCGCGCCCGAGAGAGCGCACTGCAGCCGTGGGGGTCGAGAAGTTGGCGCGCGGAGCGCGCCAGAGGGGCGGCGAAGGAGGCGCCGCCGGGGGGGGGGAGGGGGGGACAGCGCCGATGCAAGCAGCCCGCGCGGAGCGTCGAAAGTGTATGTTTAACTACAGTCGGCCTTGATGGGACAGGACACGCGACAGGACACAAGACCCTTCCGAGGACCACAGCGCCATAGGAATGCAAGAAGCATGGGTCGCGAGGCACAGGACACAAGGGTACACCCTCGTGATGGCCGCGAGGCACAGGACACAAGGGTACCCTCATGATGGACACAAGGGTAACCCTTGATTGTGCAGGGTCGACCTTCTAATCAAGGCCGACTGTATGCCTTTTTTGTTCTCCTTCGATGCAGGAGGCCTTCTCAGAAAGCGGCGGGGCTGCTCGGAAGCCTTCGCGCCTCCCAGGAGGGTGGCCGTCCCTTCGGGGAGCACTGGGAAGACTTCTTGGAAGGCCAGAGGACTTCGGGGCCTCCTGAGAAGGCCTTATCCTTCTCACTGTTAACAGGGGATGTGTCGACCCCAATCCCAAGCTTCGTTGGATGTTCGAGCGGACCAAAAATTTGGGGCTCATCCTCGATTAAGGGTGCGTATCCGAATAGCCTCCCGTGGGGGTGTATCCCAGGGTGTCCCTCTTTTCCTCCGCGGCCGAACTCTTCGGGCGGAGCTCGGGGATTGGGGGAGACACGTCGCCTGTGAACTTCCCCCCAGGAGCACCCAGAATCGAATCGACAAGTCGGACCGGCAAAACGACACGAAGCGGATCGACGGAAAAATCGGCAGCCGAGTCGGGAAAAGCCGGATCGGCAGACATCGGCAGGCTTGTAGGCCCCCGGTGAGAAATCGGATGCCGGATCGGCATCCCAAGTCGAACCACATGGGAGTGGGAAGCCATCGAGATCGAAGCGAACCGAATCGGAGGAGCCAAAAACGAGCCCTGCACCCCCTCCCTCGCTCGCCGCCAGTGGTCAGCAGCGCCCGGCTCTGGGAGAGCCCGGGGCTCCTTGATGGCCTCGGTGAGCCGGATGGACACGGTCTCTCCAGCGCCGTGCACGGCGCGGGCCCTGGCCGACGGACGGAGAGACTGCAAGCCTTTTGCCGACCAGGGCGTTGGTCTTCTGTCGGGCGTGTCCCCCTACAGGGGGATTTTCGACGAAAGTGAAAAGATACCCCAAAGATACCCCAAAGAGGTCAAACAAAAATTTAAAAAATTCGCCGGCCCAACGGGCCAGAGGCGTGCTAAGATCTCCGGTAACTTGTTAACAATATTTCTAGTTCGCGCGCGCGGAGCGGCCCCTGGGGGCCCCCGGACGAAAAGTACCCCGGCAAGGTCCCGAGAGAAGCCCGGGAGAAGCCACCAGACCACTCCAGGGGAGGGTATTTTTCGACACCCCTCACGAGGATCGTGGCCTCCGAGGGGGGAGCCGCAATCGACTACCCCCAAGAGCCCCCCAAGAGGCCCTGGGGGCCTCCAAAACGCCGCCAAGGAGCCCCAAGAGACTCCCAAGAGGTCCCCAAGAGGCCCCCAAGAGGCCCTAAAGAGGGCTCCAGGGCCGGCGGCATGAGCGAAGCGATTAAATAGTCCCCATACTATTTTGGACTATTTTTGGATTAGTTTTGGGGTATCTTGTATGCTTCGTCGAAGATCCCCCTGTAGGGGGACAGGCCCGACTTAACGTTAGTCCCAAGGTGCCCGGTGATATCAAGACGAAGCCAGGAAGAGGACAAAAGCGGACGAGGCTGAGTCAGGATAGAAGCTAAAAGCGGACGAGGGTAAAGCGGACGAGGATGAGGATAGATCGGGGATCTCTGAGATCCGGCGGCTCTGGAGGATGTCTCGGACGCCGCGGCCTTCTCAGAGCGTTCCGGAACGCTCTGAGAGCGTCCTGGAACGCTCTGGAACGAATTTATCCTCGAGGAGGAGGAGGAGGAGGAGGAGGAGGAGGAGAGCCCCACCCGAACCGAGGCGTCCGTCCCACGGTGCCCAGGGATATGCCGTCTGTGGCCGCCCAGGAAGGGACGCCCTCCCCAGAACCCCTTCGGGTCGTGAAAATGACGAACGAGCAACACACACCCATACCCATAGGGGGGTCGTTGGGAGGAGGACTGGCTATGGGTATGGGTGCGGGTTGTCGGACCCTGGGGAACGCTCCCGTTCGAGCGGGGACCCCCATCCATAGCCCTCTCCGATCCCCCTATAGGTATGGGTGTGTGTGTGTTGTTGGTTCGTCGTGACAACACATGACGGGAGATTCTTCGCTGTCTTTTCTGCCCCTGAGGGCACTCGCCGGGCCCCGGGACCGTCCGAGGACCAAGCAGGATGACGAACGGGTCCCGGGGCATAGGTCGAGGCCTCTGGGGGGCGACGCGATGAAAACATCATGACGTAGGGGGGCCTGGGTACGCAGACCTCCGACGTTATCTCAGTAGTATCGAACAAATTATCATGGTGGAACTGAAGTAGAACAACTACTCATGCTTATCTACATATGTTGCTGATACATATTCTATTGTGTGGCGTCTCACAACTATTTGTCTAGAGAGTACGTTGTGTTAAAATTCACTGTGGTCGATATATGCACTCAGTTCAGACGTTCGGACGTAATGTGCGCTCCCAACCATCCTGTGGTGTCGGGTTCTCGTTTTGAAGAAAGAGGCAGTGCCCCGAGCCTCACCTCGTGTCCCGCTGCCCCTCCCCCGCTGCCGGTCCCTGGCCCTGCCCGCCGCGCGTCCGTGTCTCTGCACGCCCACCCGCGCGCTCCGTGGCCCCATGGGGAGCCGGGCCGAAGGCCCCAGCGGGCGCGGCCACACGCGGCTCCTCGGTTGCCGCGCATGTCCACGTCGGCACGAAGCCTCACACGTCGGCCGGAAGAAGTAGGCAAACACATGAACCAGGAAGGCGGATACAGCGGATTGGGCCCGGGCCCTCCCAGAGAGCAACGAAACGCAGCACCATCAGGTCGATTCTTGAGGTAGGAAGGCGCTTGAAGTAGACTGGGATCTGGGCATCCAGAAATACGGCAGGTTCGTGTCGTGTCGACCCCGGCGTTGGTTCCTGACACCGCGCTGGATCGTTCAACCTTGAACGATCGGCCGTTTCCGAAACGTCCCAATCGCTCCACATCGAACGATTCTGGGTCCCCCGCGGCGTTCAACGTTGAACGCCGCTGGCGGGGTCGCCGCTGGTCGACACGACACAAACCTACCGTACCTACTTTCAACGACCGGCGTGTACACGCTTCGTGGCCCCAGAGGGAGCTCCACCCAAGGCCCCTGTGGCAGGGCCTGGCTCCCTGCCCCCACCGCGTGCCCGCTTCGGCACACCGCTCGCACGCCTCACGGCCCCATCAGGAGCTCTACTTAAGGCGGGCCTGTTTCCCTACAGGGGGATTTGGGCGACAAATAAAAAATACGAAAAAAAAATGCATCCAAAATGCTCAAAAATAGTAAAACAATCGTCCCCAGACGATTTTTTGACATTTCTGCATATGCCCCCTGTAGGGGGACGGGCCCGACTTGCAGCTCCACCGAGGGCCCCAGGGGGTGCGGCAGCGCGCGGCTCCTCCTCCATTTCGGCACACCCCTCACATGTCGCCACGCCGTTTAATCTCGACGCGCCCGAGTGGACGCCGCCGACAGCACGGCAAACCCACTGAAAAGCCTTGCGTCTAAGGCGGAGTGAGGCCGCGCGCCGGAACAAACGGCGCGGCGACACATGTTCCGTGGCCCCATCTAGATCGGGGATGGACAGACCTCCCTTTAGAAAAACGTGGCTTCGTGAAAACGACCTCGGGCCCAAACCTGGCGGGGGTCAGGAGGGGGGGCTTCTGTCCACCCCCGAATGGAGAACTCCACAGAGGGCGATATTCACAACTCCGGCACTCACAACTCCACGTGGCCCCTGGCTCCTTGATCGGGGGCGGCAAAGAGGGGGGGGTGCAAATCATGACCGGCGGCACGTGCGCGGCCCAGGGGGGGGGGGCCAGGGACGTGATTAAATGAGAAGAGGCGCCATGAAATCAGGGGAAATATCATGGCCCCCGCCATGATATCCGCCCCCCCCTAGTCATCACCCCCCTCTTTGCCGCCCCCGACATCTGCACGTGGCCCCCGGCTTCTCCACCCGGATGGTGCTCTTTCGCGGCCGGGGCCCCATGGACCTCTCGGCCCTCTCCCCGCAGCTGCTGCTCTTTGCCGCGGGCCGCCGGCACGTGGGGAGACCAATAGGCACCAGTAATACCGCTGTTCTCAAGTCGGGCGTGTCCCCCTACCGAGGGATTTTCGACGAAAAATAAAATAAATAAAACATATGCAAACATGGTCAAACAATACGCCAAAAATAGTCCCCCTACTATTTTTCAGTATTTTTGAATATTCGCTCTGTAGAGAGGGACAGGCCCGATTTAACGCTACTCCCCAGACCTCTCCCGGGGTGCGTTCTGTCCAGGGTGTCGCGGCGAAGCCAGCAGTGGGGACGAGGGCCCCCCAGGAGGCCCCCCCAAAAAGAGCAAAGCCGGGGGAGGGGTGGCGGCGAGGGCACCTCTTCCTCCCCCAGGCTTTGAAGAACTGGCCGCCGCTGCCTCTCGTCGGCGGCGAGCGAGGAGGGGAAATGAGAAGGAGACGGCCCGCTCTGAAGGCGGCGGGACTTTCCAGAAGCGCTCGCGCATCCTGAGAAACTGCCTGCGTCTTTCGGGGAGGGCCCAGAGCACTGCTCAAAGGCCGGGGCACCTTCGAGCCTGCTGAGAATGCCCGCCTCCTCCTCCTCCTCCTCCTCATCCTCCTCCTCCTCCTCCTCCTCCTCCTCCTCCTCCCCGCCATGGGCTCGGCGCCGACTTCTGGCAGCGCCAGAGGTCTTGGCCCGCCGCGGCGGAGGGCCCCGCCCCGCTTCTAGTCTCCCGCCGCGGGAGGCGCGGCCTGTCCAGGGACAGCATGGAGAGCGCCGTGTTCGGGACGTGGTGGCCGCAGGCCGGCAGCGTCGCCGCGGCGTCGGGGAAGGCAGGCGGCTCGGCGGGGCCGAGGAGGGGGAGGGAGGAGGAAAGGGGGGGAAGGGTCAGGGAGGGAGGGCTGCAGGGAGGGGAAGGGAGGGAGGGGTGGAGGGGGAACGTTGGGGGGGAAGGAGGGGGGCAGGGGAGGGGGATAGGGGCGGTTGGTGAGGGGGAAGCTGCAGTCCGCCCGCACAGTGTGAGGGGGAGCAGCTTTCCAGGGTTGCCCTTGCATCCCCCCCCTCGGCCCATGCTGGGCCGCTTCCGCTGGCCGCGCCGCGCTTGCAAAAAGTGTCGGCGCGGCCTCCAGAGGCCCTTCTGCATCCTCAGCGGGCGTCCCTACTGTACGGGTTGCTTGTGCCACGTCCTCATCGTGCATGCTCATCGTGCGTCCTTCTCACACGGTTTGACTCGATGGGCCACCTCGACCAGGAATCGGCAATGTACGTCGCCGATAATGAAGGGGCCCTGGGACACACACACACACACACACACCTATATATATAAATATAAATATAAGCACACACAAATAAAAAGGATCCCCCATACTTTCCCCATACTTTCTGGGCTTCTGTCTTCCCCCCAACGCCCCTATTTTTACACATTTCTTCTGGGGAATCGACGATTCATTGTGTCTGTGTTTTTCTCCTCCTGAAATGAGGTCGGTGACCTGTGGGTGCGCTCCTTTGAGCAGGGACCGACCGTCCCGGCATTCCTATAGTCCTACCACGACATGTTCTTCGAACCCAAAAAAGGTCTAAGAACAAAACAATGTTCTTAGAACGTAAACCCGATGTGCTGAAACCAGACAGACTCCGCCAGAAACGTTCTAAGAACATTCCGTGTGATCCACAAGAGGTTCTTAGAACATTGTTTGGTAGGGCTATAGGCGAGCCGGGACGCTTCGCCACTGCTTGACTCCTGACCTCGAAGGTCCAAAAATACTCAAAAAATAATCCCCGGACTATTTTTCTGATTTTGTTTTTAACCATTTTGGGAGTATTTCTTATTTTTCGTCGAAAGTCCCCCTGTAGGGGGACAGGCCCGACTTAATCCTCGCCTCGAAGAGGGGGGCCTCGCGGGCCCCCCTTCGAGGCGAGCGGTGGGCATTTCAGGGGCCGGGACGCTTCGCGAGTCGGCCGGTTTGGTGCGGCTATAGGCGAGCCGGGACGCTTCGCCACTGCTTGACTCCTGGCCTCGAAGAGGGGGGCCTCGCGAGCCCCCCTTCGAGGCGAGCGTGCCCTTCGGTGGGCATTTCGGGGGCCGGCGCGCGCCCCTCCCGGCACGCCGCCCCCCCGAGCCGCGGGGGAGACTGCGGGGAGGGGGCAGCCGGGAGGCGACGGGTCGGACGAGAGTAACGTTACGTCGGGCGTCTGAAGGGGCCCCAGGACACACAAATAAATACACACAAACAAAAATATTCCTTATATTTTCCTATATTTTCTGGGTTTCTGTCTTCCCCCCCACTTCTCATATTTTCCCATATTTTCCGGGGGATCGACGATGAATTGTGTCTGTGTGTTTTTCCCCTCCTGAGTTAAGTCGGGCGTGTCCCCCTACAGGGGGGTTCTCAACGAAAAATGAAACATAGTCCAAAAATGCCCCCAAATGGTTATATAGAATGGTTATATAAAATGCTCCAATATATGGTTTTTGGATATATATATATATATGTATATATATATATTCCCCCTGTAGGGGGGCAGGCCCGACTTAATGATAGGGTTCTCCGACCGGGCCGAGAGTTTGGGGGTCCCACCCTGGGATGCACGAATGGGGGCGGGGCGCCCGTCGTCCTCGCCAGGGGTGCGCCCGAACAGCCCCCCTCGGGGGGGGGCTCCCAGAGCTCCCGTAGGTGGACAATATATTCGAACCCTCTTACACATTCGAGGGAGATTCTAAATCACCCCTGTCCTCCTGCTAATTCCTCCTGTCTCTCTCTACTGTTCCTAGTCCTCCGCATCCTCATCCTCACCCCCGTCCTCCTCTTCCTCCTCGTCCTGATCCTCATCCTCCTCATCCTTCGCTTCCTCCTCCACCTTCTCCCCCAAGTCATGGGATCTTGGATTTATGAGGGGTCGCTTTCCATGGAGGTCCCACCCTTTTGCTGAATGGCCAAACTTTTCGGGCGGAGCTCGCGGATTGGGGGAGAAACATCGCCGGCGACTCAGGGGCGGACTTGGTACAGGGGACGGGGTGCGAACAAGCTTGCGTAGCTTTAGGTCGGGCCTGTCCCCCTACAGGCCGCTTTTGGACGAAAGATAAAAAGATACACAAATAATACTCGAAGATGCAAAAATGGTCCCAAAATCGTACCCAGACTATTTTCACACTGTTTTTGAATATGAAGGGGCCCTGGAACACACAAATAAATACACACAAATAACCGGATTCCCCATACGTTTCCATACTTTCTCTAGGCTTTTGTCCCCCCCTCCACTCCCCATATTTTTCTACATTTTCCTGGGAGTCGACGATTACTTGTGTCTGTGTTTGTTCCCCTCCCGAGAATATTCCTCCTGCAGAGGGACAGGCCCGACTCTCAAGCGCAGCTGCTGGGTTTTTGTCTTCCCCTCCACTTCCCATCTTTTTCCATATCTGTCTGGGAGTCGACGATTCATTGTGTCTGTTTTTTTCCCCTCCCGAGAATACAATCGGGGCGCTGAAGAAGGAACCCTTTTCGCTGGGGAGGGGCTCGGTGTTCCTTGATTGTGTTGCAGTTTGCCCTGGGTCTTCCCGAGGTTTCCCATGGGAAATCGAAGCTTAACTTATGGGAAGCAGGGGCCTCGTTCCTTATTTAGGGCTCCTTAGGTCAACGCCCCGACTGTATTCCTCCTGCAGAGGGACAGGCCCGACTCTCAACCCCACCGCCTGGGTTTTGTCTCCCCCTCCACTTCCCATCTTTTTCCGAATCTTCCTGGGAGTCGACGATTCATTGTGTCTGTGTGTTTTGGTTCCCCCCCCGAGGGTAAATATTCCTCCTGCAGAGGCACTAGAGGCCTCCTAGATGGGGTCGGAGTAGATGGGGTCGGAGGGTCGCGCCGCATCGGCGATGCATCGGCGATGTATCGGCGATGCATCGGCGATGCACCGGCGCCGTCCGCGTGAGGCAAATCGGGCTCCACATCGAGCCGCATCGGCGATGCATCGGCGATGCGGCGCAATCCCCCGACCCCATCTGCTCCGACCCCATCCAGGAGGCCTAGAGGCACAGGCCCGACTCTTCAAGCGCAGGTGCTGCTCCCGGCGCCCCCCCCCCCCCGCGCCCCGCGGCGGGGCCGGCACCCGGCGGCACGCGCCGCAGGCTCCGGGCCCCCGCCCCCCCCCCCTTGCCCTGAGTCGGGCCTGCCCCTCTGCAGGAGGAGTACTCAAAAGCAGTCAAGAACTATTGTCCGGGGGCGATGTTTGCTCGTGCCATGTTTGGGTATGCTAGGGCGCGTATGGATGATTCTTGATTTGTCGTTTGCGATCAGGTTCCACTAAACCCAGTTCTGCCAACGCCCTAATCGGGCGTTGGCAGAACTGGGCTGAATGGTACCTGGTTCAGTTGTACCGGGGGCGCCCCCCCGGCCCATTCCCGCGAACCGGGACTGCCGTCACCCGAAAAAAAACACCAGCTATGGCAGACCTGGTTTAGCGATTCTGGCCACTCCAAAGGCTCCGGGGCCCTACCACTAACCGGGTCACCTTACCTGGGGTCCTGGCCATACCCGACCTAAGTCGGGCCTGTCCCTCTGCAGGAGGAGCATTCAAGAGTAGTAAAGAACTATAGTCCGGGGGCGATGTCTTTCCGTACCATGTTTGGGTATTTCAGGGCACGTCTTGATGATTCTTCATTTGTCGTTTGCGATCGGCCTCATAGTCAGGGGACGATTTTCTGGACCATGGGTTTAGTGGAACCTGGTTTAGTGGGTTGGCAGAACTGGGTTCAGTGGAACCTTGCCCTAAGTCGGACGTTGGCAGAACTGGGTTTAGTGGAACCTGGTTTAGTGATCTGTACCGGGGGCGCCCCCCCGTCCCATCTCCGCGAAGAGGAACTGCCGTCACCCGAAAAAAAACACCAGCTATGGCGAACCTGGTTTAGTGATTCTGGCCACTCCAGGCTCCTGGGCCCTACCACTAACCGGGTCCCCTTAACTGGGGTCCTGGCCATACCCGACCGAAGTCGGGCCTGTCCCTCTACAGGAGGGGTGTTCAAAAGTAGTCAAGAACGAGTCCGGGGGCGGTGTTTTTCCGTACCATGTTTGGGTATTTCAGGGCACGTCTTGATGATTATTCATTTGTCGTTTGCGATCGGCCTCATAGTCAGGGGGCGATTTTCTGGACCATGTTTGGATATTTTAGGGTAGGTGTTGACTTGTCTTAGTTTGTCGTTTTAGGGTATGTTTTGGCTATTATATGGTATGTTTTAGGGTATGTTTTAGGGTATAGTTTAGGGTATGTTTTGACCAATTTGGGATATTTTAGGGTATGTTTTGGCTATTCTTGATTTGTCGTTTAAGATCGGCCTGTAGGGGGACAGGCCCGACTGCACTCTTGCCCCAGCACCCCCCCGCCCGCCTCCCTCGCCCGATCCCCGCAGGAGGAGAGCGCAGCACAGCCGACGGCGACGACGGCGACGACGACGACGACGGCGACGACGACGACGACGACGGCGACGACGACGACGACGACGACGACGACGGCGACGACGACGGCGACGACGACGACGACGACGACGACGACGACGACGGCGACGACGGCGACGACGACGACGACGACGACGGCGACGGCGACGACGACGACGACGACGACGACGGCGGCGACGGCGGCGGCGGCGGCGGCGATGGCGGCGGCGGCGGCGGCGGCGGCGGCGAGGGGCCGACGTGGAAGTCCCACTCGCCGGCGGCGTCCCGCAGCAGGCAGTGCACCGGCAGGTCGGCGCCGGCGGGGCGCACGCCGGCGAGCAGCAGGGCCCCGAGCGCGGCGAGGCGGCCTGCGAGCGGCGTGCGGCGAGGGCGGCGGCGGCCACGCCCTGCGAGGACGCCGACGGCGGCTGCGGAGGAGAGGGCGGCGCCGAGTCGACGGCGGTCGCGGAGGGGACCGCGACGGCGACCACGGCGGACGAGGACGGCGAGGACGGCCACGAGGACGACGACAGCGGCGGGAGGAGGACGACGAGGACGACGAGGAGGGCCACGAGGGCGACGGCGGCGAGAGCGACGATGACGACCACGGCGGCGGCGGCGACGACGCCGGCGGCCTCCGCCGCGGAACTCGCTGGCACCGACCATGGCGGCTGGCGACCAGCAGACAGTACAGCCCTGGTCAAAATCCTGCAGACAAGCCTCGCCCCCAGGATAGCGACAACTGCACACCTGGCGCCTCCGAAACCTCTCCGGAGCCCCAAGACGGCCCCAGAGGGCCCGAACAAAGCGCTGGGACAGTCCACATGAGCGTCGCGATGGTCCAAGGTAGCGCCATGACGGTCCCAGACGTCTTCAGGACGGCTCGCATGGCCCCCACGACAGCCAAAAAGTGATCCCAGAGGACCGCCGCGAGAGCTCCAACGAGCCATACCCTGGCAAAACGAACATCTTCCGCATACGCGTCTTCTTCGTCTTCACAGCGTCCGAGACGGCCCCAGGGGCCCCCAAGATAGCCCCAAGACGGCCCATGAGGCCCCCAAGAGAGCTCCACGACGGCCCGAGAGGACCCCAAGAGGACTCCAGGACGGCCCCAGGGGCCCGCAAGACGGCCCACGAGAGCCCCCACGAGGGCTGCACGAGGCGCCCACGAGGGGCAACACGAGCTGGCATCCCGCGCCGTTCCCCCCCACCGCGGGCCCAAGAGCTCCCGCAAGAGGCCCACGGAGCGCCCGCAGGAATCCTCAAAAAGTGGCCCCCATGGGCGTCTCAGAGGCCACAGCAAGCGACGTCCATGCGCTCACCATTTTTCGCGCGGAGGTCGACGGAATGGCGTGAGCCTCTTGATTATCTTAGGAGCAACAGGGCCGACCCCAGATCCCCAGGCGCCCCCTGGCAACTGCAGTGGGGGCGAATCGCGCCGCGTGGCTCGAGGCATGTTTGACCTGGCTCATAAGAGGTGCTACATTGAACTCGAGGCATGCGCGCGTCCTTGAGCCATAACGGCCAGGGAGAGCCACCCTTCCCTCCCCCCATCCTCTGAGGGGCAGCGACACAGGGGGGACCAGCTCATGGGGGAAACATACATCGCCGATAGGCCCCTCTGCGCATTCCTGGGCGGGGTGGGGCTATCGGCACACTGCCGGCGATCCGTGGGCAAAGGGGGGTCGATGCGTCCCCCCTTGGGCCTGTCCCCCCCCCTTGTCGTTGCCCAAGACGGCCTTCCTCTCACTCCTGGTCCTCCTCCTCCCCTTCCGACCTCTCCTCCTCCCTCGCTCTGCTGCCACACGGCCTCGTCGGGCCGCACGGCGCCCCTTGGAGACTCTGGGCAGCGCCATCCCGAGTGTGCAGCTCGGGCCGCGGTGCGCTGTCGATAGCCCGCCCCGGTCCACAACCGGAGCCTGCTCCCGCCTCCCGCACCTCAGAGTGTGGCACGGGGAGAGATCTGATACCTGGTCGTCCTCTGTAGTGATTCCCCCGAAGTCTCTACACGTCGGAGGTCGTGGGTCTCAGGCCGGGACCTTCTCGAGTCCGTCGGCTGCCAGACCACCGCATGGCTGTTTTTTTTTGGCGCCGCTATGAGTGCAGCACCGTGTTTCAACTTCCCTGGTCATGCTCGTGCTGAGGCAGGTTGCGTGAGCTCAGACCATCGGCGTCAATGAATGATGAATGAACCTCCCGCATCTGGTGCAACGGGGGCTGAAGGGAGAACCTGCGACCCAAACTCCCAAAGCCCGCACCCCCTTCAACACCTCCTCGTGGCGGGAGCAATCGGGCACAAAGAGAGAAGGAGAGCACGCCGCCCTACGCAAGAAGCCACCAATGACGTACGCGCCCAACCACGTACGTGAACACGGCCCTCCAATCCGCGAGACCCGCCGCGTGATACAAACGTTCGCGCAAAACGTACTCCCGAAACCGACGTGGACTCCTGTACACGTGCACGTCATCATGTCGCTCCTGACTGCGCCCCCATCCTTTCCCCCAACCCTCGCAAGCCACCCTCTCCTGGCCGAGGGAGCAGCCAGTCGGACTCGACTGCCGGGAGCAACAGACCCAGGGATCCGATGCCGTGCTTTTTTCAGTGCGCGGTCCCCGGAAGTCTCGACCCATTCCTGGCCATCGCTCGGACGTCTGTGCTTTTGTCGGTTTCGTGCGTGGTTTTTTTTTTCGCCAAATGATCAAGGATGCTCCTCGATGGTCCTCGCCGAAGGAAAAACACACACGTCCGAGCGATGCCAAGGGAAGTCTCGACCCGTTCCCCGGAGCCGGTTTCTCATCCCGAGTCGTTCTTTGACGGCCCCTGGGCCCAGCGATGGAGGCCGAAAGTGGTGCAAGACGCCCGTCTTGATGCTGTTCGATACGCTGGATCCCTGGGGAGCTGCGCCGCGGTGCGGGACGTCCCCTCGGCAGACCGCCTGCGGCCCTCGGCAGACCGCGGTCGGCGGCGCTCTGCTGTGTGCTCCAGTCTCGCGCCGGCCCCTCCCGGGCCATGGCCATATGGCCACGGCGTGCGGCAGGAGGAGGCGGAGGAGGAGGAGGAGGAGGAGGCGGAGGGAGGAGGAGGGAGGAGGAGGAGGAGGAGGAGGAGGAGGAGGAGGGAGGAGAAGGAGGAGGAGGAGGAGGAGGAGGAGGAGGGAGGAGAAGGAGGAGGAGGAGGCGGAGGAGGAGTAGGAGGGGGAGGAGGAGCAGGCGGAGGTGGAGCTTTCCAGGAGGGGCTCCGAGTGGCGAGGGCCGAGCGGTCTTCCACCGTCCCTGGGTGCGCAGCTGTAGAGGGGCTTTCCGCGGTGCGGGCCGTCGCTGGTCCTGCTCCTGCTCCCGTCGCCGTCGCGCCGCGTCCCTCCCCGCGGCCCATTCCGCAACCCGCCCGCGACCCGCCCGCGGCCCGCCACGCGACCCACCCGCAACCCTCCGTGCAACCCACCCGCGGTCTGCCCAGGGCACCATGGCGGCAACCCGAAATAGCAGCAAATGGGGCACCATGGCACTCCAGCCATCAAGTCGCCACCCGCAGCGCACCAGGGCGGCAATCAGAAACCGCGACAACTCGAGCCGCATGGCGCAGCAGCAGTGGTGCACCATCCAGATCACCACCAGAGCGGCGACCTGAACTCGCGGCAGTTGGGGCACCACTGGGCTGGCCATAGAGCACCACCCATGGTGCGCCAGGGCGGCAATCAGCCATCGTAACGACTAGGATATCGCGCACCAGCCGCAGCGCACCAGCCACAGGGCCCGAGTGCGCCATCCAGAAATCGCTGCAAACGGGGCATCGCAGCGCACCAGCCACGGGACACGAACCACAGAGCAGGCGTGGGCCAACCAGAAATCGCAGCACATGGGAACATCGTGCAACGCGCCGCCAGTAGGGCACCCGGGCGGCCACCACGAACTTCATAACCAGTCATGCGCTCAGCCATAGAGCACCGCGGCAGCCAAAGATCGCAACAAAGGGGGTATTGTGGCGCACCAGCCTTGGGGCAGCACTCGTAGGGCATCGCAGAGGTGTCGAGGAAGCGCAACACAGGGCGCATCATGTAGCAGTCACCAGAAGGCGCCAGGGCGGCGACCAGAAATCACAACAGTGACTTCCAATTCCACACAGCCCGAGCAAGGACCCCTTCGTTCGTGCAAGAGCTGGTCGGGGAGTGGTGGGGCCTCAGCCACAAGAGATGCACAGTGCACACGCCAATGAGCACAACACATGGGAAGCCAGTCATTCAGCACCACACGAGAGGGTACCAGGGCGACAACCAAAACACACAACCATTGAGGCATCGCAGGGCGCCAGCCAGAATGCACCACCCACAACGCACGCGCCTCCACTGTTGGCACCCTGGCTTCATTATTTGCGTCTCGATCTTCCACCTGTCAACGGCTCGCCAACCATAATGCACAACCCACAGAGCACTTGGGCAGCCACCAGGCGTCATCGCACAGGAACATCACAGCGCCCCAACAAACTAACACACCATAGAACGCCAGGGCGTCCACAAAACATCGCAGCAACTGTAGCACCATACCACCTCGGCAAGACATCATCCCATAGGTCAGCAAGGCGGCAACCTCAAATCACGGCAACCGGAAACATCGTAGCGCACCAGCATTGTATGGCGGTAACTTCACAAGTCAGCATATGCGGCATCATAACGCACCGCCCATATAGTGCAACACTTTCATGGCACCAGGGCGACAGCCAGAAATCACGTCGAATACACCAAGACCTGTTGACACTATCACGAACCTCCCAATGCAAGCACAGCTCTGATAATCTCACTAGCCAGCTGGGTGCAGGTGGCTTCGAACCTTCCCCATACGAACCCCTATTCTTCCCTCCTGGAAGGGATTGATCCCTCCCCATCCCCGTACCCCTGGGTCTGGACGGGGGGGGAAGATGCCAGAGGGCCCAAGATATAACAATATGGCCCCGCCCAACATGGACTCCAAGATCGCACAATACAGCTCAAGCTGGCCCCAAATCCCAACATGCTTCAACACCGCCAGACGACGGTTCCAGGTTGCTACGGAGCCCCCCCCCCAGGACGCCCCCGAGAAGCCAGCCTCATTCACAAACGCAAAGACGTCAATGAGTTGTGCACTCTCGCCAGCTTGCTTCCGGTGAGCGTGTGAGGTATCAAGGTGTCCCCAAGATCGCCCAAGAGAGCCCCAAGAGGGGTCCAGGAAGGCGCTAAAGATTGCCCTAAGAGCGCCCAGCCTATGGCACCAGCCACGCAGCGGCACCCATAGAACACCAAGGCAAAACCGAGAACACGCGACTGCTAAGGTACCATAAGGACCATAGGGCACCAAGCAATTAGCACCACCCGTAAGGCACTAGGCAAGGAGCAAGAAACCACAACACCGTAAAACATAAGCCACACAGCGGCACACCAAAGGCAGGAAGACAACAACGGCAACTCGCAATCGGTAGCGCATCTTAGGGCACATGCCCTAAAGCACTACCCACGGGGTACCAAGGCGACAGCGAGAACCTGCAAACCCTAAGGCACCAAAGAGCAGCAGCCAGAGAGCACGACCCACAGGACGCCAGCCATAGAAGCATCACCCATCGAGCGCCAGAGCAGAAACGAGAACACACGTATGATTCCCAGCTCCCTTCAAGCCAAGTAGTCGGCGGTGGACAAACC